ACATAATAAGGAACACACAACGGGCAGCTCGCCTTTTATTAAAGTTCGATTTTATAAATAAGCAAAAGAAAAAGTAAAAGATATATACCTTTAAAAAGAACGTTTTCAAAAGAAGCGCCTAATATGTTTATTAAATGGGTAATTATAAGTATACAAAGGTATTAAAAGTAACGAGGAAAATGAAATACTAACGTTCCAAAAAATTTGATTTGCATTCAAAATATCGTATCAGGTATGATATGTTGAGGAACACAAAAGATTTGATTCTTATTGATATCATGTGATATGATTTTTAATTTTGCTCACTAAATTCAGCCGGCAACGTCATCTTGTGACTAACGCTAATTCTAATGCAGTAATGCACTGTATTACATAAATTATAAATCATATAATATCGAGTGTCTCATTACGTTTTCTTATCCAAAATCCCACGTATCTCGGTCGTTTTAGTGTGTAGTCTAATTTGTATGTATAAATGTTAGATCGACTTTGAAATAATTTTTTATAATTTTTTGCTTATTGAGTCTTTAGAAAATTAAAATTGGAACCTTGAGTTTATAGTTAGGAAAAGTAAAAAAAAAAAAATGTATCGTTTGAACAATTTATAGATAAAATAAATATGTAAAATAAGTAAAATAATTTAAAAGATTTTTTATATCATTAAATTGTCAATAGAGAATCTTTGTATATAATTTTGTGGTTAAAATTTTAAAAATTTTTATATAACAATATATTATTTCATCACTCAGCGTACTGTTCTTTATCTCTACTACAACACTTGATGATTGTTAGAACACTTTAAATTATGACTGTAACCTTGATCTCTACGCCACCGGCGGTCGTAACGCCCGAACAGATAAATCAATTACAACAAAATCCCCCAGATTCTGGATTAATGCCACAAATTGCTCGTCATATTCAACAAAATGTTCGTTTATTAATCACCCCCCCTGCGTTTGATGCTATGCTTGGGAAAGGAACTTTATATGTAACTGAAAGGTACTACTAACGAAGGCTAGAGTTTTATGCGATAAAAAAAAGAGATTTATTATTAACATTTACGTCCTATAATATACTTGAAGCAAATTGTATTTTTTTTCTCGGGATACAAACACTGGGCTGGCGATTGATTACCCAACAATAATAATGCATGCAATCTCGAGACAAACATTAGATAACATAGGACCATGTATTTATACACAATTGGATATTAATCCGAATAGTTTAACGGGTGTTAATCGAAGTACAGAAAATCAGAGTGAGGACGATGATAGAGATGAAATGACAGAAATGAAATTTATTCCTGATGATACTAGTTCTCGTAAGTTTCATATTTATTAGGAGTATGATGCTAACAAACAAATATATATTTAAGCATTTATGTTAAAATATTGAAATTTAGTTGATGCAATCTTTGAAGCTTTATCTGAATGTGCCGCATTACATCCTGACAAAGAATATATGGAAGAAGATTCAGATAGTGAATTTTATGGCAATGGTGATAATAATGAATGGATCACTGCCGCACCAAGTGATGAACAAGAACTAAGTGAAGTTGGAAATGTAAATTGACACTATATCAATTTCGTTAATTATTGATTACGACTTTTTCTTAAATAAATTTTCATGTTCAAATAGGCATCACGGGCATATTTGGATTCTATTATTGATCAATCAGGTTTGACAGAGCAACAAAGAACATCTCCAGATACAAATGAACATAATGAAGAGATGTTTGAGGATGCAGATGAATAAAATGTAATAAAGGTTTGTAATATTTATTTAATATGAAACAGATTACGGTCCTTATTTGTGTGTTTGATAATTTTGAGATTTGAAAGTTGTATTACATATACATGCATGCATCCAAACCTAATATCAAGTTACAAGAATATGAAAGAGGAATCCGCTTTTTTTTTTATTATGAAAAGATTTGTGGAATTTAAGGTCCTTATGTAACATGATAAAACGAGAAAAAGCAGTAACCCAAATATTATTAGAAGCAACACTAAAAAGAGTTTAAAAATGATCACATTGATAAAAATTATGCAAAGATAAAATTTAAATTTATTGGTAGTAATAGACTACGTACCTTTAACTTTCATATATGCCCGAAAAAAAGGATGGCATCATATTATCTAGATAATTTTGTGTATTTTAAGTTTTATATATAACCGTATCTTTCCTTCATGAATAAATCTACACAAATGCCAGTTCAAAAATGGCATACTTTGCCAAGATACAGTATGTATATCTTTGTCAATTAGAACTTTCCAAATCTCTCATTTTTTCATGCGATGCAATAAGTTACTCTCTAATTACACGTTTTCTAAATGCAAAATAAATTTTCTTCAATTTATTTTTGTTCCCAAGTACAACATATAATAAACATTCTAAATGCAGATTTCTTTCTAAACTTTTTCTATGTATAGCTCAATATGGTCCCGCTAAAATTCGACAAGATTTAATGTATTTTTAGCCTTAAATGAATTATAAATTGATATTTATCATTTTTCTTTGCAAGCTATATTGAATTCTAAATCTAATGATGCAATCTTTTCAAAGTACTTTTGTTTTTCAAAATAGAAGATAAACCTCTTATTTTTTTTAAAGGAAAATGGATTTCTCAGGTGAAATTACATAGAGTCACCGCCTACTTGATAGCGGATTAATTGCATAACATATGCGATAGCATATTTACTGTATGTATGCAGAGAAAAGCATAATACTGTATATAGTAACTTTTTATTGCAACTGGCTAATTTTGTAGATCATTATGATGGTTAATTGAATCTATCTTTACAATATATCGATATATACAGTGTTGTCACTGGGAGACTGGAATCCCACTGGACGTCCAGATTCTTCTAGTGTTCCAGTGGTTCCAGTGAGAAATCCCACCGGAACGATTTTCTCACTGGAACGTATTCGCCTGATTGGCTAATCTAAATGCGATTATCGGCCAATCAAATTAGTTAGTTGGCGACTTCAGCAGAGACAGTGCCCCCTATGTAGATTTTCGTTTAACGTTACACAACTTACAAAATTTTTTTTTTATATTTATTTAAAGTACTTTCGAACATCTTGTATTACTCGCTTTCGTAATAAGCTAAGCGCCAATAGTTTATTAAGTAAACTTGGAGCCTTCATAACGTAGAAGCATATATTAGTTTAATCCCTCTTAATCCCGCAACCTTAAGTCTGCGATCCAAATGGAAAATAATAAGAAATGTGTAGATTGTAAGACTACTAGTTCCAAGAAATTTCACCAGTTAGGTTCTAAAATCTGGCAAGAAGTTGAGAGTAAAGGTTTGGTAAGAGAATTATGAAGTGTAGGTTGTACGCTTTGCAACGTTTGCTATATGAGATATGTAGCAAATCCTAGAAAAGAAAAAAAATCCACTAATAAAGAAATTACAGGTAAAGCTATAGAAAAAGAGATAGATCATATGGAAAACGAAGCCAAAGAAATAGATGTGTCGAGTATTAATTACGAACTTGTTGAAGCCATAAGTTCTATAGCAAGAGTTCTTCATAAGAGAGAAGTTATAGAAAAACAAAAGCCTATTTATAATTTTGATGAATTACGTGAATTACTTGAAAATAAAGATTCTAACTTATGTTATTTTTTTGATCAATTATATTTAGCAGCGTGACCGTCAGAACGTACTAGCCAAACTATAAATCATATGAAAAGAATTATGGTGTTCATTTGTTATCTTTTGGCTTCATTAAATAATATGTAAATTAATGCTTTTAAGTCAGATATTTCTTTTTATTTAGATGCGTCGGGAACGAGTAATGAAGGATTAAATACGTTGGCAAATATTGGTATAACTGCGATAGCAAAAACATTGAGTCGTAAAAAAAAGAAAATATCAAAAACACATGAAGAATTTGTTAAAGATAATCTTATAGAGCATTTTAACAATGCTCTAATACTTAATATTTATGATTATCATAACATTCACGTCCAATGACAGCCCTGTACTACCGATACGACTTTACCAACTCATATGGCGACAATCATGGCAAATCCGTGCTTAACACCAGCAATACCACGTAATCAAGTGCTTAACCCTAAAGTTGTTAATGGTGAATTAGTTATAAGGCATATAGATAAGTGGTTTATACTTAATCTTAGTGTATCTTATTTTAATTTTACTAAAAATTGGTTAAAAAGAGAATATACTGACACTGAATTATTGGAGAAACTTACTTTACATAGCTATGATGATAGATTAGTAGAGAAAAAAAGCAAATAGCATGTTAAAAACTGTATCCTTTTTGATTTTGTTAAACGTAGCTTAAAGGGTATTGACAGGTATTTAGCCTCACTTAAAACCGTGTATAATCAGGAGCCAATGTGGGAATATCTTTCCAATTTTATGGTTCCCATCGTTGCAGACTGGCCTGGTCAATTTTATATTCGTAAGGCTATAGCGCAAAAGGTTCTTTTGAATAATCAGAATATTCCTGAAGTTGTTACGGCATTTTTATCTATTATAGGTTCTCTCCATGTGTCACTAAATGCCCGTCAGCTTATTTTTCTAAAAAACTCATTTTTATTTAATAATTTGTATAAGAGTATATTTGGATCTCATAAGAATCTTAGCCAGAAACCACGACCATGGCAGATAGATTTAATTCTTTATATTATATATTTGGCGTGGTTTGAGATAGTTGATTTTATTTATTTAAAATTTGGCTACACATGTAAAAAAATTGAGTTTTTATATTTAACTAATCTCTTTAATAATTTAATTCTTTTAGTTTTAGATGTTTACGCGATACACCATCGGGAAGGTAATTGGCAAGCATACGAAGATGCTTGCATGCGTTGTTGGAGTGATCTTTTTCTGCTATTTAACAGAAAAAATTATAAGCATGCGCCTTTAATATTTTTCTCCGATATTTTTTATTGGATAGAAACTGGTCATCCAATAATTAATACAATTGTTGATCACCTCGCTTCTTTAAGCGATTGCCCCATGGAGCTTTTTCATAGCATTGTCAGGTGGCATACTACTAAGTCTTTTATGGCTCAACAATTATGAAGTACTGCCCATTTAATTTACCAGCAGTGTCATAACAATGATTTCCAACAACATTTTGTACACTCTAAAAAATATCCGTATTCACCAAAACAATTGCGGGTGCTTTCTCAAAAATGCACGATAGAAATTTTGAAAATGTTTGCTAAAATCTATCGTGCACCTAACCAAAACTATTTTATTATGAATTCATCTGATAATATTAACACATATAAATTACTATCTTTAGGTTACGAGATAATGGACCACCACCTTTCAAGAGGTTTTGTTACTTTAAAAAAACCTAACCTTAACAGTTTGTGTGATTCTACTTATTGTAATAATTCTCTCGATTCATCTAATGGAAGTGTTTTGGCATGCGGGCATGGTTACCATAGTTATTGCTTGCAGAATCAACAGTTTAAATATTTTATTTGTTTAAATTATTTGCAAAATAAAATTAAAAAAAATACTAATGCATTATTAAAAAGTTTAAAAAAAGATTTAGGTGAAAATAAATCTTTCGAGAATAACGAATATGATAATGTCGACGACGAAGATTCAAATGAAGTTCAAGAAGTATTGGATGATGCAACAACAGAAAATTTATTAGAACGTATAAAAAGAGCATTTTTAGAGTTGTAAATTCTTAAAATTTTTAAAATTTAATGTAAAAAAATGTATATATAATAAATAATAATAAAAAAAAAATTGAAATAAAAATTATTCTTAGGGTGTTTTTAAGAAACTCCCTCAATATGATCTGATAGTGATTGAGATGATGCTTAATTATTACAATTGATCGTTATAATGATTGCAATCATTGCTTGAGCAAATCATTCTTGCTTTACTCTATTATCGCTATTTTCAGCAAAAATGTAAAAAAAAAAGTGACTATAAAAAAAAAAGATAGTCTGTGCCTCTAGACTTTTTTCAGTGAAGCAGCAATTCACTTGATCAATTTTTTTGGCCTGACTATTTGAAATTTTATTCCAGTTTAATTGATTTAGGCGCTTGAGAACACTCTTAATCTTGATCGTCTATTATAATTGAATTTAACCATAAAAAGTAATAAAATATAATATAATAAATACTTAACACTACTTAATATTAAGTAAAGGATAAGTAATAATTCATTATTACTTACAAAACTACTTTGATCAGGTCTTTAATCTAGTGTCACATGGGAATCACATATATTAATAATCACACCTCTATATAAATACTATTTAAAAATTGATCTATGTTTATTTATCACATGATGCCTCTTTATAGTAATTGTTGACTCAGGATAGCCAATGGCTTAACTGTCCCTGCTGTAGTTAGCGACTAATTGTTTTCAAGCTTCCAAAGCTATTCAATGCAATATATTCAGTTTACTTTCTAACTCATCTTCTAATACTGCTTCAAGATTCTAAAATAATAATTCTTTCTTTATTTATGTATCTCATTACGATAATATAATTAATATTTTTTAATATACCAAAAACATTGTAAAATTTGTCAACAAAGTCTTTAACATTATTACACGATCTATGCCAAATTACCCAAGTTACTCTGGTTATCAGAAATGATCATGTTTGTGATTTGGTAATATTTGTATAAATAGGTAGGTATCTGGAGTTTAAATTTTATGCTGTTTAATCTTTGCTCACTATCCCCAACCAATCAGAAGCCACTAGAAGTCACTGGACATTACTGGAACTTCCATTTTAGTAATAA